ACCTCAGTTTCACTTTATAAATCTAGAGCTAGTCTGTGCAATCTGTAGCAGAAAATAAATGGCATCACTCAGCAGTACCCTCTGCGATTACTTTTCTTTTTTTGAGACAGAGTCTCACTTTGTTGCCCAGGCTAGAGTGAGTGCCCTGGCATCAGCCTAGTTCACAGCAACCTCAATTTCCTGGGTTCAAGCAATCCTATTGCCTCAGCCTCCCAAGTAGCTGGGACTACAGGCATGTGCCACCATGCCCGGCTAATTTTTTCTATATATATATATCAGTTGGCCAATTTATTTCTTTCTATTTATAGTAGAGACAGGGTCTCGCTCTTGCTCAGGCTGGTTTCGAACTCCTGACCTCGAGCAATCCACCCGCCTCGGCCTCCCAGAGTGCTAGGATTACAAATGTGAGCCACCACGCCCGGCCAATTACTTTTGATTATAAAGTGTGACCATATGATATATTATTCAAACTGGGAACATTTTCAAGAGAGAAAAGGGATGTTTTTAATAATTATGCCAGAAGAGGCACAAACAAGGACTTTCCACCCGGGGAAACCAGGCCATATGGGCACCATAATTACATGCCACATGGAATGTAACTAGCCAAAAACTTCAAGAGTAATTTATAGTTCCGGGATATATTTAAATTATAAGTAATATCCGTCCTTTTTGTGCCCTTCCTTTTGCTCTCCCTCTGCTGGAACAAGGGTCCAGTTATCATCTGTGGTATATGTAACATGCTCTGTAAACCTATATCCTGCTCTTGTCCTATAATCCTAGCTTTCCCTCCTCTCTAAACCTCATTTTCATGCTTGCCTTAAAAAAAAATTATAAGTAATATCCAAGTAAAGAACCTAAATTGTAATATGGATCATATAAACCAAGTGAATTCCTTACTAAATTTAAACATCTAAATACTTGACACTGCATACAAAATCAATTTCAGGTGCATTATAGACATCAAGGTGAAAAACCAGAACAAAAAAAGGTTTAAAAAGATATAATATCTCCACAACAAAACAAAAAAGAAAGGAAGAAAAGGCCCACTGGCTATAAAAGACAAGACTGATAAACATGTTTACATTAAAATGAAGAACTTCCTTCACCAAAAGAAATCATTAAATGGGAAAAGATATATGCAATACATACATGCAACAAAGGATCCATATTTATAATACAGAACTCTAAAAACAGACATGCATTTCTTTTTGGGCAAAATATTTCAAAGGCACTTTATTAAAGATGAAATCCAAATGGCTAAGATATGAAAGGTGTTCAACCTTTTTAGCAATCAGGGAAATGAATAATAAAACTACATGTGCACCAGACTGGCTAGAATTAAAATATATCATACCAAGTATGGTTGTTGGTGAGGGACATGGAATAATTAGAACTCATATACAAATAACTGAAGCAGAAACTAATGAACAACTACTTTGGAAAACACTTGGCATTTGTGATAAAAACACATTCCCCCCGGGCCGGGCGCGGTGGCTCACGCCTGTAATCCTAGCACTCTGGGAGGCCGAGGCGGGTGGATTGCTCGAGGTCAGGAGTTCAAAACCAGCCTGAGCAAGAGCGAGACCCCGTCTCTACTATAAATAGAAAGAAAATTAATTGGCCAACTAATACATACAGAAAAAATTAGCCGGGCATGGTGGCGCATGCCTGTAGTCCCAGCTACTTGGGAGGCTGAGGCAGGAGGATCGCTTGAGCCCAGGAGTGTGAGGTTGCTGTGAGCTAGGCTGCCGCCATGGCACTCACTCTAGCCTGGGCAACAAAGTGAGACTCTGTCTCAAAAAAAAAAAAAAAAACACATTCCCCCTGTTCCTGCAATTCAAATTGTAAGCATATACCCTCAAGACAACTACATAAACATGCATCAGTGTACTTAAAAAACAAATATTAATTAGCAGGGGATGGTGGCACATGCCTGTAGTCCCTGTTACTCGGGGCGCTGAGGCAGAAGGATCGCTTGAGTCCAGGAGTCTGAGGTTGCTGTGAGCTAGGCTAACAGCCATGGTACTCTAGCCCAGGCAACAGAGCAAGACTATGTCTCCAAAAATAAATAAATAAATAAAAATATGCAAAAAATAATTGTTCATAATAGCCAAAAAATGCAAACAATCTAAATGTCAACTGTAAATATCCAAAACAACTCCAGAAAAACTTATGTTATATTCATGATGGAATACTATGCAACAATAAAAGCCAAAAATAAAATACATGCAAAATAATTCCATTTACATGCTGGTGAAAAATGGTAAAACTAAATTCTAATATTTAGCGATATAAACTTACATGGTCAAAGTACAAATGTGAGAATAACACAGGTAACTACCTTAAGATGGTAAGTAGTTGTGATGGGAAGATACAGGCGGTGGGAAGCTTCTGGGATGCTGGCAATGTCTTGCCCTGGGTGGTAGTTACAAGGATCTTTGTTTAAAAATATTTCATTTTTATCTTCTGTATCTTTTCAACATTTGAAGTTATTAAAAAGGAAAAAAACTCTTTCCAGAGAGACTAAAAATATTCTAAAGAAAATTCTAAGAATGTTACTCAAAGAGATTAACCCTTAAATCTTTTTTCTTTTTTTAGAGCTGGGGCTGGATTTGAACTCCTAGGCTTAAGCGATCCTCTTGCCTCAACCTCTCAAGTAGCTGGGATTACAGGCATGTGCCACCAAACTGGCTTCAAAGAGATTAACTCTTAATCCGCAATTTAAAAAGAGTAACTGGGGCCTGGGCATGGTGGCTCACACCTGTAATCCTAGACTGGGAGGTGGAGGCAGGAGGAGGACCCTTTGAGCTCAGGAGTTCCAGACCAGTCTGAGCAAGAGACCCCCCTCTACTAAAAAAATAGGAAGAAATTAGCTGAACAACTAAATACACACACACACAATTAGCCCGGCATGGTGGCGCATGCCTGTAGTCCCAGCTACTCAGGAGGATGAGGCAGAAAGATTGCCTGAGCCCAGGAGTTTGAGGTTGCTGTGAGCTACGCTGACGCCAGGGCACTCTAGCCCAGGCAACAGAGTGAGATTCTGTCTCAAAAACAAACAAACAAAAGACTAAATACTTTAGAAATTTTTAAAATGTATGGATTTTTTTCTTTATGAGGAGTAAAGGTAGCATAGCCAACTCACAGGTATGTCACTAGGTTGGCAAGACACTTTTAAATTCAGATTAGATAAAACAATGCTTTTTAAAAATTAAACCACTTTAAGGAGAAATACTGTTTTCAATCTGTATGTGGCTCTCACCAAGCACTTTAGAAAGACTTTTTCACAATTTCATAAAACCATAAAAACTAGAACACTGTACAGCTAAATAGCAATCTTTATTTTTAAAAAAGCTTAATATAAGAATAATTCTATCTCAAGTCAGGAATAGGCCAAAAAAAAAAAAAAAAAGAATAATTCTAAAATAAGTCCAAAGTCCAAGCAAAAACTAAGTTATTTAAGAAGCATCACTGGGCAAGTCTTTAATAACCACTAAATACCATCATTCATCCTGAAATACAGTGGATTTCTAAAAAGATGATGATGTACTAACCTACAGATGTTTTAATGAGGTAATGTGTCATAAGACAATGTTTCACAAGGCAAGAGGAAAGTTTTGGGGTGCTCTCTGGTTTCTCATACTACTTTTAAATTTAGATCTTTTAAAGTGCATAATTCAATGATTTGTAGTAAATGTACACAACTGTGCAGCCATCACCACAATCCAATTGTAGAACATCTCCTATTTCTCTTTTATGGTGTAGTTCTGTAACATAAAAAGACTCTCTGTATTAAGATGTGTTATAACACTACATCTATTAAAAGGATCTACCGGAGCATCCAAAAAAAAGTCATTAAATACTTGTTTATTAGTTAACAATTTAAAATATTTTACAGATTCAGAAAATTTTCTCCCTGTCCCTGAACCCTTTTCTCCCTACCAGGCTATGCAGCTCCTACCTCTACCAAGCTGTGCTGGGGAAATTACCTGGGTTACCTTTCTTCCCCGTAAGTATTCTAAACTGTCGTGACATTTCCTTTAACGACAGAGAGCTAAAGTTTTTATTTTCTTTCTGGTTTCCTGGCGGAGCAAAGGCCCAGCACGCGTGAACGGAAACAAAACGCACACAGACTAGAGCGATGCCAAACACTATGGGGTAGGGTCACCTTCCTCCTCCACATCCTCACTGCACAACTCCCTTTTCCCGGCGAGCACCCGGAGGGATCAGTTGGCGCTCACCTACCACTCCTCAGATCTGCCTTGTCGAACGAGGGTCCGGGATCCAGCTTGAAACCCTCCCGTGCACTAGGTTTCCAGAAACAGGGTCGTGGGGGGCAGGAGCAGCAAGCATTTCTAAAACGCACCCTTCAAGAGAGGGCTGCACGACAGCCTCCGAGGAGGACTCCGGTCTAACAGGTAAATGCCACCGAGGAGCCAAGCGAGAGGCGATCTGCCCCAGGGTACCGGCGGCATTTCGAGAATGTCTGCGTTGCGGAGCAATCCCAAAGTTTCAGCACATTACTTAGAGGCTCACCTGAGGAATATCGCGACGGGCTGAAAACGAGGAATGCGGGGGAAACGGGGTGCTACGGAAGCAACGAGTCGGCACTATAAACTCAAGCTAGGCAGGAAAACGCTCGGGCTACTCGGCTTTGTTTTGTGGCGAGGCGACCGAACCACCGAATTTCGGAGTTGGAAGACGCGTACCTCCGTGTTCTCCGGCCCGTTCTCGGACTTGAGGGCGGGCCGCCCGCCCGCCCGCCGCGCACCCCGGCCCCTACTTCCCCGGACCTCGGGCGCAGACCTTCGCGGCGGGAGCCAGGAAGCCCCGGGGAGGCCGCGGCCCGGCCCGCGACGCCGGGGCAGGAAGGAGGGGAGCGGCCTCCCCGAGCGCGACGGAGGGCCGGGCGGGAGCGAGGAGGCCGCGGGCCGAGAGCGGGAGCGGCTCGGAGCAGGCGCCCGGCCCGGCCCGCAGCCCCGAGGCCCGCCGCGGCGTACCTTTGGCGAGGGCTACGGTGGAGTTCTCGGTGTCGATGGTGTAGAGGATGCCCTCGTAGCGGATCTCCGCCTTGGAGATGAGGCTGATCTTGCTGCCGATGTAAGGGGTGCCCCCGCTCATGGCGCCGCCGCCGCCGCCGCTCCGGGCCGCTCGCAGAGAGGCAGATTCCGCGCCGCTGTCGCCGCTCCGCGCGCCTGCTCGCTCTGTCGGCGCCTACAGCAGCCGCTTCAGACTTAACATGGCGGCAGCGCCGGCTCCGCTACCCTCCCCCAGCCTCCCGCCCTCTAGCCGCGGCGCGGCGGCGGCGGCGGCGGCAGCGGCGGCGGCGCGGGGCATGCTGGGAGGGCGAGGCCGCGGCTCTCGCGAGACTTGGCCGGCCGCGGGCGGCGGTGGCCCCTTCGCGGTTTCTGTAGCCTTGGCCGCGCTTAGCGGCCTGGTCTACCGCGGTCCTGCTGGGGCCCCCTCAGCGGGGTTTCGGGGGGCCAGGGGAGGAGAAATGTCTTGCGGTACCCGCACACGGAGGGCAGGAGTGGAGACGCGCGTAGCCTTCCTCTGACTCCGGCTGCAGCCTGCGTTTCCTGGCGCGTCACACCTCGTCGGGAGCCTGTGTCTTTCGCAAAAGTGGGACCCTCCACCTGGAGAGTTGCCCTCCCGCCTCCAAGCTTCTGGCGGGCTGCTGGTCATCCTTTTAAGACACTGTCCTTTCCCTTTTGAGGCGACTGTGCACTTCATGGAGCTCTCCAGGCCCTGTTACAGGATCCATCGCCCAAGGACTTTCCCCTTAGGCTACTCCTAGAGCTGGGACTCTGTCCCAAGGATGCAATTTTTAGTCCTGCACCATCCAGCTCTTTCAGATGGTCTTATGCAGGCTCCTGGCTTTCAATGCCACTGTATCCTGACCAATCCCAAGTGTTTGTAGCTTTGATCAGTTCTGTGAACTCCAGTTTCATACAAGCAATAGCCTCTTCAACCTCTCCTCTCTGTCTGATATGTCTTATTGACGTATCAAACACTGTGTGTCCAAAGCCATGCTCCCCTTTACCCCTCTAAACCTGCTCCCTCCCCATTGAGTTAACTGGTACCATTTAGTCAGCTGCTCAGACCAAAAGTCTTGGAATCATCCCTTCATTACTTCTCTCTCACCTCCACATCTGTTCCAACTGCAAATCCTGTCCAGAATACAGCCTGAATCTGAGTGCTTCACATCTCACCATCTCCATCCCTACAGCTCTACAACCAGCCACAATTATTCTGGCCAGGATTATTGCAGTAGCCTCATGAAATTTCCCTCTACAGCTGCCTTTGCCCCAGTACTTTATTCTCAACACAGCAGCCAGGAAGATCTTGTTAAAATCTATTATAACTCAGAACATGTCCTTCCTCTACCCACTACTCCTCCCCCTGCTGAACCCATGGGTCACACAGAGTGAAAACTAGATGCCTTCCTTTGGCTTATAAAGACATACATGATTTAGCTTTGTTATCTCCCTTCTCCCATTCTATTGCAGTCACTCTTCTTCTCCACCCAGAACTTTAGCACTTCACTCCAGTCTCTGCTCAAATGTCACCTCCAGAGATGACTTCCCTGATTGCCCTGTTTAAGATAATGCCACCCACATCACTCTATATCCCCTTACTTAGCTTGCTTTTTCTTCATAGCATTTACCTCTCCCAAATATGTCTATTTAATTATTTGTGTGTCTGTCTCCTTCACTAGAATGTAAATATTTTGAGTCAGGGACATTGTTTTGGTCACTGCTGTATCATCAGGGCCTAGTGTAACACCGGGGAAAAGGAAACTGCTCAGTAAATATTTGCTGCATGAATGAACAGCTGGATGAAGCCAGAGCTCAGGCAGGGAACAAATGGCGAGAAGCCTGGCATCACAGACAAGGGGAAGCAGGAGAGAAAACTAAGAGATGAGATGGGGTTGGTGCACAGTGGCTTCACAAGGAAAGGCCATGAAATCCTTGATTCAGTAGAAGGTCCATGCCAGGGGGCTGAATTATTATTCCTGTTTTTCCCTCCTCATTCCAGGCCTGGGACCTACCTTACCTTCTCATGATTCCTGAGTGAGCTCATCCTTTTCCATCTATAAACTGCAGTTCCCCAATTTACATATCCATTCCAGATCTCCTGACTTCCAGGGCCATGCTAACTACCTAGTAGATGCAATTGCTTGGGTGTCCCTTAGGCACTTCCAACTCAATGTGCAAAATCACCCGCATCTACTTCTCTCCTCCCCCCTAATAAACTGCCCTTTATCATACTGTCTATACCCATCACTAGCCTTAGGACTCGCTAAGGTGTCCAATCCTAACCAGGAGTCCTTATCTAGCTATACCAAATCGGTTACCAATCTTGTTGATTCAACTTTTTGTTTTGCAAATCATGGTTTTCTGCACCCTAGAACATCAGGGAAATACGCATAATGCAGCTGATTGGTGTGGTAGCCCATAGTGTATTGCACATACGAATATCCAATTTATGTGTTACAAGCAAAGTTGAGAACTGTGACACATATCATTACTACAGCAGGCTTCCTAAAATCCAAAACCCATGTTGCTTCTGTGTTCAATAGCTTCCAGTGACCTACAGAAAGAATAATTCCTCCCCATGGAAACTTTTTAGCAATAGAAGCTCTAGAATTTCTACATTGGAAGGCTCAAGGGTGACAATATTTTGGGAGAGGAGACTGGGAGGATTGGAGACTTGTTCAAAGCTGTTCTGATAGTATACTATTTTTTACTTATATTTATTTTGCTGTGTGAGGCTGGGAGGTGGCTGATGGAGAATATGAAAGAAACAAGGTCCCTACCTGTCACCACCCTTTGGGGTGGCCACTGCTATTAATTGCAACTCCCAACGTACTCTCTGCACACGTTAGGCTCATGCCACACTGAATTGCTTACTTCCCAGAAAGTATGTTTCACTCTCCCTCCTGTAATCACCCCTTCATCTCCTGTCTGATTGGAAACACTTTCTATCCCATCTCCATTTGCAGACAAGATGTAAAGTCACCCCCATACCGTAGACAAAAATTAGCTCAAAAGAGATCAAAGACCTAAATGTAAGAGCTATCACTATAAGAGTCTTGGAAGAAAACCTTTGGGTAAATCTTTGTGACCTGGATTAGCCAATAGTTTATTAGATATGACACCAAAAGCTCAAACAACCCACCAAAATTAGATAAATTGGACTTCATAAAAATAAAAAATATTTGTGCTTCAAAGGTCAATATCAAGAAAGTAGGTTACAAACCTAATGCCTAAGAAAAAAAAAAAAAAAAAGAAAGTAGGGCCGGGCGTGTGGCTCATGCCTATAATCCTAGTACTCTGGGAGGCCGAGGCAGGCGGATTGCTCAAGGTCAGGAGTTCGAAACCAGCCTGAGTAAGAGGGGGACCCCATCTCTACTATAAATAGAAATAAATTAATTGACCATCTAACATATATATAGAAAAAATTAGCCGGGCATGGTGGTGCATGCCTGTAGTCCCAGCTACTTGGGAGGCTGAGGCAGCAGCATTGCTTGAGCCCAGGAGTTTGAGGTTGCTGTGAGCGAGGCTGACGCCATAGCACTCACTCTAGCCCAGGCAACACAGTGAGACTCTGTCTCAAAAAAAAAAAAAAAAAAAAAAAAGAAGAAGAAAGTGAAAGACAACCCACAGAATGTGAGAAATTATTTTCAAATCATAGATCTAATAAGGGACTTGTATCTAGAATATATGAAAGAACTCTTCCAACTCAACAATAAAAAGACAAATTGCCCAATTTAACAATGGGTAAAAGTGCCAGGCATGGTGGCTCATGCCTGTAATTCCAGCTACTCAGGAGGCTGAGGTATATCACTAGAGCCCAGGAGTTCAAGGGTCTAGTGAGCTATGATTGTGCCACAGCAGTCCAACCTGGGTGACAAAGCAAGACGCTGTCTCTTAAAAAAAAAAAAAAAGGGTAAAAGATCAGAAGAGACATTTCTCCAAGGAAGATATAAAAATGGCTAATGTTTGTGTCCCCCCAAAGTCATATATTGAAATTCTAACCCCCAAGGTGATGGTATTAGGAGGTGGGGCCTTTGGGAGGTGATTAGTGGGATGCAATTAGTGCCCTTATAAAAGTAGCCCAAGAAAGACCCTTGCCATGTCAGGACACAGTGAAAAGATGGCAATTTATGAACCAGAAAGAGAGTCCTCACCAGACACTGGATTTGCTAGTGCCTTGATCTTGAACTTCCCAGCTTCCAGAACTATGAGAAATAAATTGTTGTTTATAAGCTACCCAATTTGTGGTATTTTCTTATACTAGCCCAAATGGACTAAGAGAATACATGAAAAGATGTTCAATATCATTTTGTGTGTTTGTTTGCTTTTAGAGACAGGGTCTCACCGTGCCACCCAAGCTGGAGAATACAGTGCAGTAGCACAATCCTGCCTAACTACAGCCTAACTCAAGGCTCAAGCAATCCTCCTGCTTCATTCTCCTGAGTAGCTAACTACAGGCACACACCACCATACCTAGCTAATTTTTAAATTTTTTGTAGAGTTGGGGTCTTGCTGTGTTACCCAGGCTGGCCTTGAACTTCTGGCCTTACATCTCTGCCTCCCAAAGTGCTGGGATTACAGGCATTGAGCCACCGCGCCGGCCTCGGCATCATTCATCATTAGGCAAATGCAAATCAAAACCTCAGTGATTCAAACCTATTAGGTTGGCTATAATTGAAAAGATAACAAGTGTTGGTGAGCATGTGGAGAAATTGGAACCCTCATACAATTGCTGGTGGAAATGTAAAACAGAATAGCTGCTGTGGAAACCAGTTTGTGACAGTTCCTCAAAAAGTTCAACTTCAAGTTTGCATATGCATCAACTATTCCATTCCTAGGTGAATTGAAAACATATGTTACCACAAAAACTTGTGTATATCAGCTGGCGAGGTGGCTCACGCCTGTAATCCTACCACTCTGGGAGGTTGAGGCGGGAGGATCGCTGGAGGTCAGGAGTTCGAGACCAGCCTGAGCAAGAGCAAGACCCCGTCTCTACTATAAATAGAAATTTGCTGGACAACTAAAATATATATAGAAAAAATTAGCAGGGCACGGTGGCGCATGCCTGTAGTCCCAGCTACTTGGGAGGCTGAGGCGGGAGGATCACTTGAGCCCAGGAGTTTGAGGCTTCTGTGAGCTAGGCTGATGCTATGGCACTGTAGCCCAGGCAATAGAGTGAGACTCTGTCTTAAAAAACAAACAAGCAAACAAACAAAAACTTGTGGATACATATTCACATGCCTGAGGAAGGTAAAAGGGAGAAGAAGCAGGATTGAGTAGGGAGAGCCCCAGACT